AATTAAATTTGATTTTCTGAATTTTGGGTTTTTAATCAGTAGCATTATCACACATAGTTTTCAAGAGGGGCTTATTGGGATTTATTTTCTATGCTTTACACCATTTAGGGAGCAAATCTATTATATATTTTTCAAATACTTAAAACAAATGATAGAGATCATGTCAGACTGATACTGTATGCTACACAGGCAGTCCCAACTTGATGATAAATGTTTAAATTTACTGATATATGATGACATGCTGAATCATTAGAAAGATCTAGTAATGATCTTAGTTGAGATGTGTAGTAACAATAGTAGCAGTGAATACAATTAATTGACTAAGAGGTATTATTATTGATATCGTGCCACACTGTACATATTATATGAGCATAAAGAAAGAATATTTTGATACTGAAAATGTAAAAGTATAGAAAAATGCATTGGCATAAGATGGGAGAGGATGAATAAAAGTCACAAGCACAACCCGGAAAATTAAATGGATAATAATAATAAAATGATAAAAAGAAAGTGATTACTAGTAAAGAGAAGAAGAGTAAGGGAACTAAGAAGCCAGAAAAAAGAGCGAGAAGTCAGAGGAAGCCAGAAAGTATTAAAGGAAGCAGAGTGTTAGACCAGAAATGAAAGGTAAAGAAAATATATTTTACTGTAAGTAGTGTCTCTTATTAGAGACCCAAGAAGGTGCACAAAAAGGCAATCCAAAAGTAGGAAGTTGGGGAAATAAGGTAATTTTGGTGTTTGGTCTAATTATCCTTTTTTTTTTTTAAATAAAGTTCCAAAAAGAATTATATAAGAAAGCTAATCTCTTACCAGCATGAAATTCTACCTAGTCATTATGCTAGACAACAGTTGGCTTTATTAGCTAAAGACCAAACAAACTCAAGTTCTCAAGATGTACAAAAAATTGTTAATTAAGAAATTTATGAATTAGAACTCTTCTCTTTTAATGTAGAAAGTAAACATTAGCCAAAGTGTCTTTGTTCTGGTTAAAGATAGTAGTAGATGAGAAAATGATCAATTGTACTTTTTTGCTACAAAAAACTTAGAATTTGTACAGTTACAAATAGACCTTAGTGCCTATTAAAGACTGAACCACGGCTCTAATTTACATCCTGTTTGTCTAGCCTGAAGACAAATGATCTTGAAGATCAAATATTTATAATATTTTTTATATTCCAGTGTTTTAAGACTTAACTCATTCAATAAATTCATAACTATTTAGAAATTTGAAAAAAAAAATGGCGGGAAGAACAGTTCATGGTTTCATTTTGTCTTAAGCATTTTGTGTTGAATTATCAAGCTAAATGGCATAAAATACATTTTTTCTTCCCTTTGGTTACATTTCCCTTTGAAAATAGTTTTTACAACCATGAGGCACATTCCTATTCAATTGACCAGTATTTCCTACCTTGCACAAGAGTTTGGTAATCCTGTTAATTCTGATTGCGCGCCATTCTATTGCTTATCTCTCCTAAAATTCCCGAGTGTTATGTAGCTCTGGAGCCCTGGTGGTGCAATGGTTAAGAGCTCGGCTTGCTAACCAAAAAGTTAGCAATTTGAATCCACCAGCTGCTCCTTGGAAACCCTATGGAGCAGTTCTACTCTATCCTATAGGGCCTCTATGAGTCGGAATCAACTCTGCAGTAACAGATTTGGTTTATAAAGCTTTAAAATTAAAGGGAACTTTATGGAATTTTTAAGACATGTTTAAAATTCTGAGTTACTTGTATTCACCCCAGTCAATTACCAAATTAGATTTAGAATAAATCATTATTTAGATAGTAAATTAATAACTAAATTAAGAATAGAAAAGAGAATAAAATGTTAATTTTATAGTTATTAAAAAATCATAAAATATATTTTTTAATGCCTTTTGTTGAAGTTTTATTCAGTTTGTTCAAACGCAGTGAGAGGCTTACTTGTTTATTTTCCATGTTTTATTCTAGTTTTTTAAAATGGTTTTTTATTTGGGTGCTTAATTTTAATAGAATCCAGGCTTTTTTTTTTTTAAAGCAGTTTTGTCTTTGATTTTCTAAAAGGAGCTTATCTTTCTTCTCAAGTGTTTCAGATAAAGCTATACAAATCTTCATTACTTAGGAATTAGCCTGAACTAGGTAAGCAGGCCTGGTGGCAAAGTGGGTAAAGTGATTGCTAACTGGAAGGTTGGCCGTTTGAAACCACCAGGGACTCTGCAGGAGAAAGATGTGACAGCCTCCTTCTGTAAGGATTTAAAGCCTTGGAAACCCTATGTGGACACTATAAGTTGGAATCAACTTGATGGCAGGTGGTTTGGTTTTTTGGTTTGGAGGGTAAGGAGAAAAAGTGACCTTTTTTAATTTCCCCAGGAAAACATATTTTCATTTTCTAGTACTGCCTCTACATTTCTTCACTTATTTCACTAAGCCAAATAAGCTCTTTATTTTACTAAACTCAGTATGTTTTTGCTGGAATATTCTTTAAAAGTAAAGCCTGGAGAAAATAATTAAATGGCTAGCCCAGTTAATCAGGAAAGCCTATCATACTAAAGTTTAATTTATTAACTGTATTATATTAACTTTAACCTTAGAACATAGACTTGTTTTTCCCACTCATAACATCTGCAAAAATCTCAGATAAATTACCAACAAGGAAAAATTTCCCCATACTGAGGCTTAGAAAGATATGATATTTCAGGTGAAAAACCTTGTTTCATTTTTGAAATATTTTATGACAGCTCTTAGGATATTGAATTTTGTTGCTGATGTATCCTACATCCTATTGCTGTCAAGCTTTCTAAATTATATTAGGGTTTTATTGATATCATATTAATAAAATCATTCCTTCTAATGCTTCCAGAGAAGTCTCTGAAAGACCTAACTCAGGGAGGGCATATGTGTCACCTTTCTCTGTGGTTCTGAATGTACACACAGTAACTTAGCCTACAGTTCATAACAGTATTGTCTAGGGGATGGGGAATAACAGATCTCTAAGCTTCCCTTCCTGCCCAAAAGAAATTAATAAACCTAAAGAATTGGAGTACAGTCCCTATGAGATAGAAGTATCATTTCATTCCTATTCATTTCTTTTGAAAGGAACACCAACAACAAAAAGCTTAGGTATCTATCCTCTCAGGATGATTTTTTCCCCAAGCATATTCCTCACCTTCAGAATCTTAAATGGATTTCTCCAGTGTTTGCTAAGCTCTTGTACTGTAAATACTCCTCTGACTTAATAAATTCTCCAGGCTCTACATTCCCCCAGTTCTAACTAAACACCATTTGGGCGGATAGGTCGACTAGGACAAGAAAGCAAGCAAACAACATCTCTATGATGCTTTCCTGTCGTGTGGACTGTTTTTTTTTCGAGACAGTGATACAAATGTGTTCTTTGCAAAGAAGTTACAATATATTTCTTAAATAGTGATATTTTTTTCAGAGAAAAAAAATGAATAAAGCACTTTCGCTGTTAATGAGACTTGGAAATATTTTTATTATAGTGAAATTTTGGTATTTAATGATACACACTGTGATAAAATTTTGGAAAAGTCATATTTAATCATTTTGATTACTCTCTTTTAAGAATGATAACATATTGATAGTATCAATATATGCAAAAAAATTAATTCTGAATGGATCATGTATTTGTTTTTAAAAGCAACTTTTTTGCCTCTTAGAGATGTGGTTAGTTCTTTATATAATTAGTTCTTTAAACTCATTTTTAAGAACACAATTTAAAAAAACTTAAAAAATATCATTAGTGAACGAAGTAGAAACCAAAATGTGGATTCTTCTCTGACGTCTGTTTGAGACTTTTCACAGTTTTTTTTTTAAACCAGAAAACGGATTTTGCATAATATGAACTGGAATTTCACCAGTAAGTTGTAGGACTCTTCAGTGGTACCAAACAATGAAGGCCATGTTCAAAACCAGTTTTTGTTTGTTATAAAGATACCATATGTGGGACTAGATAGAGTTCAGAATATCAGTGTGGAAAAACTCATATGGGAATATTTTGCCTTTTGTTTATTATTAATCCACATGTCTCCAGCTTAGAAATTACTTTCTAATGAGACATGGTGCATATTGTATTTTGAGAACCTTAAGAGGTAATACAAAGTATTGTACCTTACCCATAGAGTACTCTTATCATCTGGAACAGTTTTGTTTTTGTGGGCAATTGAAAAAAAAAATCAGTCAACTTTTTACTTTTTAGAAAATACGTGATTCCGTTTACTATCAGTTAGAAACATTTCAAGGAAGTATAGTCAGCTCTTAATTATCTCTGCTAATTGGCATTATCATTTGGCTTCCTAATATAACAGCTAATTTGCTTTTCCTGCTGTGGTCATGGCTGATGGTCCTCTTCTGCATTTGCCACTTGTTTGTAATTGCACATTGGTGGTTTTCAATGTTGCTAATTATCCCGAGGCTTTATCTGCCATCGTTGTACAGGGAGCAGGACCAGCCATGTGGTAGAGGTAACAGTTAAGGAAGTCAGGAGAGTGAGGATAAGGATGGGAAGGCACAGTTGCAAAGTAGCAGCAAAGCCTTGGATTGTGCCTCTGGAACATATGACATGGACAATTCCCAGCCCATGTGACTGAGAAATAAAAAGAAATAAGTATTATTTTAAGTAAAAATGAAATTGTTTTGGAATAAAATTTCTCTGACCATATCTTTTTTGTTTATAATTTCTCTGGCTGATATGCTTTAATATGTGGATTTACTTTAAGATTATAAATGCTAACTCTAAATGCTAATATTGTGTGTACCTTTGTATAATAATAAAGAAAAAAACAAACTTAAAACATTTAAGAGTATGTATTTGTGCTAAACTTCAGCCTGTAGATCTTTTCTTTAAAAATTACAAAAAGTTTAGATTCATTGTATAATTAATAGGTCAATGAAGGAGAAGAACAAATGGAAGAGGCATTTATAATTGCTGTGTATTTTACCAGAAAAAGAATCACTGTTTTCTCTAACTTTTTTTTTTTTTCCTTTCCCCCTCTGTATTTGTTCAAGTTCTCTGATGTGATCTCCGTAAGTGAGAAGCCCCTGGCAGAACAGGACTGGTACCATGGTGCAATCCCCAGAATAGAAGCCCAAGATCTGTTAAAACAACAAGGAGACTTCTTGGTGCGAGAGAGTCATGGGAAACCTGGTGAATATGTCCTTTCTGTATATTCTGATGGACAAAGGAGACACTTTATCATACAATTTGCTGATGTACGTTTCCAGCTTAGTTTTACGTGTATGTTTTAATGTAGTTTATTGTGGTATAAGTGTAATAAAGTGAATAGTTTATGATAAATGCCTGTAACACTTACATTTTAGCACTTAATTTTTTTCTGTCTGAATCCCTTAACTACAGTGCTCCGAGATTTTAATAGCATGTTATAGCTCGTTAAGGGAATACGTACTTAAAAAAAAATTTTAAATTAAAAATAATTTAAAAACTTTAAGATTATATTGAAATGCCTAGTTTCAAATATTTTAAGTTTAATTTGCACATTAAAGGCATTTTAAATTAAAACTAAAAATAAGGTGATGTTATCAAAATTTTTCTTTATTTTCTCCTAAACCTATTTAAATTTAGCAATTTTATGCTTTTCAAATTGGCCCTTGAGATTGCCTTAAAACATTGAGCTATCAGAGATTTTAAAGACATATTTTATTGAATAGTGCTAATGAAATTCATTACTGAATAGGATAATCATAGGTGAATTGGTTTTGTGATTCATTAAGGATCATGTTTTTCCCCTCTCTATATGAGTTCTTATAAGCTCTTCCCCATGTGTCCATCAGTTTGTTGTACCGTGATGGCTTGTGTATTGCTGTGATGCTGGAAGCTATGCCATTGGTATTTCAAATTCCAGCAGGGTCAGCTGTAGGGGACAGGGTTCAGTGGAGCTTCCAGACTAAGAAAAACCAGGAGGAAAGACCTGGCTGTCTACTTCTGAAAAAATTGACCAGTGAAAACCTTACAAATAGGAGCAGAATGTTATCTGATATAGTGCCGTAAGATGAGCCCCTGTGGTTGGAAGACACTCAAAAGATGACTGAGGAAGAGCTCCCTTCTCAAAATAGAGTAGAGTTGATCTTCATGGCGTAGATGGAGTCAAGCTTTCAGGACCTTCATTTGCTCATGTGGCATGACTCAAAATGAGAAGAAATAGCTGTAGACATCCATTAATAATTGGAACATGGAATGTATGAAGTATGAATCTAGGAAAATGGGAGATCATCAGAAATGAAATGGAATGCATAAACATCGATATCCTAGGCATTAGTGAGCTTAAATGGAATGGTACTGGCCAATTTGAATTGGACAGCCATATGGTCTACTGTGCTGGGAATTACAAATTCAAGAAGAATGGCATTGCATTTATCGTCAGAAAGAACATTTCAAGATCTATCCTGTAGTACAACACTGTCAGTGATAGGATAATATCCATATGCCTACAAGGAAGACCACTTAATATGACTATAATTCTAATTCACTCACCAACCACTAATGCCAAAGAGGAAGAAATTGAAGATTGTTACCAACTTCTGCAGTCTGAAATAGATCGAACATGCAATCATGATGCAGTGATAATTACTGGTGATTGGGATGTGAAAGTTGGAAAGAGGAAGGATCAGTAGTTGAAAAATATGGCCTTGGTAACAGGAACGATGCTGGAGATTACATGATAGAATGTTGCAAGAACAACGATTTCTTCGTTGCAAATTCCTTTTTTCAACAACATAAACAGCAACTATACACATAGACCTTGCAAGATGGAATACATGGGAATCAAATCAACTACATCTGTGGAAAGAGACGATGGAAAAGCTCAATATCATCAGTCAGAACAAGGCCAGGGGTGACTTTGGAACAGATCGTCAATTGCTCATGTGCAAGTTCAAGTTGAAGTTGAAGAAAATCAGAACAAGTACATGAGAGCCAGAGTACGACCTTGAGTATATCCCACCTGAATTTAGAGACCATCTCAGGAATAGATTTGACATATTCAACGCTACTGACCAAAGACCAGATGAGTTGTGGAATGACATCAAGGGTATCATACATGAAGAAAGCAAGAGATCATCAAAAAGACAGGAAGGAAAGAAAAGACCAAAATGGATGTCAGAAGAGACCTTGAAACTTGCTCTTAAATGTAGAGTAGCAAAAGTAAAAGGAAGAAATGATGAAGTAAAAGAGCTGAACAAATTTCAAAAGGGCAGCTTGAGAAGACAAAGTAAAGTACTATAATGAAATGTCCAAAGACCTGGAGTTAGAAAACCAAAAGGGAAGAACACATTCAGCATTTCTCAAGCTGAACTGAAATAAAATTTCATGCCTCAAGCTGCAATAATGAAGGATTCTATGGGCAAAATACTGAACGATGTAGGAAGCATCAAAAGAAGATGGAAGGAATACACAGAATCACTGTACCAAAAAGAATTGGTTGATGTTCAACCATTTCGGAGGTAACGTATGATCAAGAACTGATGGTACTGAAGGAAGAAGTCAAAGCTGCAGTGAAGGCACTAGCGAAAAACAAGGCTCCAGGAACTGATGGAATACCAATTGAGATGTTTCGACAACCGAATGCAGCACTGGAGGTGCTCACCCCTCTATGCCAAGAAATTTGGAAGAAGCTACCTTGTCAGTCGACTGGAAGAGATCCATGTTTGTACCCATTCCAAAGAAAGGTGACCTAGCTGAATGCAGAAATTACCAAACAATATCGTTAATATCACACACAAGTAAAATTTTGCTGAAGATCATTCAAAAGCAGTTATAGCAGTACATTGACAGGGAACGGCCAGAAATTCAAGCTGGATTCAGAAGAGGATGTGGAACAAGGGATCTCGTTGTTGTCAGATGGATCCTGGCTGAAAGCAGAGAATACCAGAAAGATGTTTACCTGTATTTTATTGACTATGAAGAGGCATTCGACTGTGTGGATCATAACAAACTATGGTTAACATTTTGAAGAATGTGAATTCCAGAACACTTAATTGTGCTCATGAGAAACCTGTACATAGACCAAGAGGCAGTCGTTTGAACAGAACAAGTGGATACTGCATGGTTTAAAGTCAGGAAGGGTGTGCTTCAAGGCTGTATCCTTTCACCATATTAATTCTGTCTGTATGCTGAGCAAATAATCCGAGAAGCTGGACTATATGAAGAAGAACGTGGCAGCAGGATTGGAGAAATACTCAGTAAACAGCCTGCGATATGCAGATGACACAAGCTCGCTTGTGGAAAGTGAAGACTTAAAGCACTTACTGATGAAGATCAAGGACTACAGCCTTCAGTACGGATTGCACTCAACATAAAGAAAACAGAAATCCTCACTACTGAGCCAGTAAGCAACATCATGATGGACAGAGCAAAGCTGTCAAGGATTTCATTTTACTTGGTTTCATAATCAACAGCCATGAAAGCAGCAGTCAAGGAATCAAATGGCGTATTGCATTGGGCAAATCTGCTTCAAAAAACCTCTTTAAAGCAAAGATGACACTTTAAGGACTAAGGTGTGCCTGACCCAAGCCATAGTGTTTTCAGTTGCCTCATACGTATGCAAAATCTGGACAATGAATAAGGAAGATGGAAAAATTGATGGCTTTGAATTATGGTGTTGGCAAAGAAAACTGAATATGCCATGGACTGCCAGAAGAACCAGTAAATCTATCTTGGAAGAAGTGCAGCCAGAATGCTCCTTAGAAGCAAGGATGGCAAGACTTCGTCTGTCTTACTTTGGACATGTTATCAGGAGGGACCAGTCTCTGGAGAAGGGCATCATGCTTGGTAAATAGATGGTCAGCAAAAAAGAGGAAGACCCTCAAGGAAATGGACTGACACAGTGGCTGTAACAGTGGGCTCAAGCATAACGATTGTGAGCATGGCTCAGGGCTGGGCAGTGTTTTGTTCTGTTGTACATAGGATCTCTGTGAGTCAGAGCTGACTCAACAACATCTAATAACATATAAGCTCTTGCTTGTAGTCATTAATAATAAAAATTGATGTAAAATGCACAAAATAGTCTATTTCCCTTACTTCTTCTAATACTAATTTAATTATGGAAAATTTATTTAAGTGTTGCTAAACTACTTCTTATGTTGTTTACATTTTCTTTATTAAGCGTTAAACCCATGAGAAAAATCTTAAAATTTACTTAACCTACAGCCACTAAGGAAATGTTTAATGTGTTTGGCATATGAAAGAATTGGTATGCTTCTATCTGTCATTTTTACTCCACTCTTTCAAATGGCATGAATTTTCAAGATGGTTGTCCAGAGAATTTCAGTTTATGTCCAGGGACTTGAGTGATGCTAATTGTCTTATGGACTAAATAACCTCAGAGGGCTTTAAGTAACACATACACATTGAGGTGAATTTCACATAACATAAAATTCGCCATTTTAAAGAGTGCAATTCAGTGGAACTTAGTACAATCATATCTAGTAACTTATATTTAAATGAAAATAGACACCATTTAGATGTGTTAGAATGACTAATGCCGTTAAAGTATATATTGTAATTTTGATACTGTTAACTTTTCTTAGTATTCAAACACCAACTTTATAATCATATTTGCCTGCTTTCATAATCCAACCCACTGTTCTAGTCGTAATATGTCATTCTTTATTTCTTTGGCAAACTCTTGTAATTTGTATGTGCTTCTAATTTATGGATGCCGATAACTTACCTTATAACAATTTGAGACCATGCTGGCAGTATTTATAAAATTGTGTGAGAATTGTAGAAGGAAAACTATAGGTAAAATATGAACAGATTAATTACAATTTATGTGAATATTTTCTTCTATTTCCTAAACTCTAAATAGTATTTTTGAAATACTACTACTGCTATAGTAAATATACTACTACTATAGTAAATAGGACTGTAATACTTCCCTTATACTTCTAGTTTAAAATGTAAGTGTAGGAATTTAGATTATTATTCTTACTAACAAAAAAGAAAAGATCAGCTTGCAAATTATCAATTTCCCTTAATATCACCATTTTGTTTTAGGTGGCTAAAATGAACAGCATAATACATGCTAAAAATAGACATTGGTAAAAGTTAAGTTTTGAAGGTTTTATTCAGCTTTCTTTTGTCATTGAGATTAAATACCTCTGTTAAAGATGAGAGTGCTTGTATTTCAGTAAATGCCTCAGGTTTTGCACTGCCTAATTTTTATTCTAATGAGCTTTCACCATATAATGCTGAA